CAGGTCTTGGTGTTTGTGTAATATGGGAGAGTGATTTCCTTTTGTTGTTGTTGTTTTGTATTTCCTTTGTAGTAATTGTATTACATACCAAAAAAGGATGCAGAGTTGGGATTTTAAAGTTTTCTTTTGTGTGTGTGTGTGTGTTCATGTGTGTTCACATGCGTATCAATCTATCTATCTATCTATCTATCTATCTATCTATCTATCTATCTGTACCTACATGAGTTCACATGTGCTATAGTGCCTGCAGATGCCCATAGAAGCCAGGAGAGGATGTTGGATCCCTTGGAACTGGAGTTATAGGAAGCTATATGCTGCCTGCTGTGGGTGTTGGGAGCTTAATGCAGGTCCTCTTCAAAACCAGCAAGTTCTCTTAACTGCTGAGCCATCTCTCCAGCTTTCCACCTTGTTTTGAGATGGGGTAAGCCACTGAATCTGAGGCTCACTGATTGGCTAGACTGTCTAGTCAGCAAGCACCAGGAGCCTCCTGTCTCTACTTTCCCAGATTTTTTACATGGTGCTGGGGACCTAAACTTAGGTCTTCGTGCTTACATGGTCATTTTTTTTAACTTTCACCATTTTCTAGTAGCACAAGTTTCAAATAAAATTCTGCAGTGTCAGTGAGGACAATTTGGATCAGTTAGGATTGCTTTGGGGGGCAAGTAATAAAAAATTGGACTGAGGATGCCCTAAATAAAGATACATTTTGGTCTTACATAGTGAGTAACTCAGATTTACAGTGTGGACATCAGTTTAGTTGATTCATCAGGCCAGCGATGACTCTGAATCTTTTTACTCTGCTTGTCTTATATGTTACATTTCAGTCCCAGAAGAGATGGCAAAGATGCAAATATCACGGCCCCATTCAAAGTATGGAGAGAGCACCACTTGAATGTTCTCCATCACAGGAGACTAGAAACGTTACTAGCCATTCACATTCTCATAGGAGCTCTCCCAGCAAGGGAGAAAGTGGGTGTATACCATATCAACCAAACCTTGTTTCTTCTGGCAATTGTATTCTGTAAGCGTATGGCTTTTCTCCATCTAGCTCAGGTCCCACTTGACCAGTTTCTTTCCACCCACTGGGTCCCTACAGCCACTTCTATGATAACCACTCAGAGACTTAATATATATCTTTAGAATTGTTTGGCCAATGCCTTAGGCTTCTTACTGGCTAGCTCCACCTATAACTTAACCCATTTGTATTATTCTATATTTTACCATGAGGCTCGTGGCTTGTTACCTCACATCTTGCTTCCCCAGTGGCTACATGGTGTCTCCTTGACTCTATCTTCCTTCTCTCTGTCTCTTTGTTCAGATTTCCAGCCTCACTAGATTCTGCCTATCCATGGACTGAAACAGCTTTTTTCATCAGCCAACAAAAACAACACATATTTGCAGCATTCAGAAGGACCTCCCACACCAGTATTCCATGCATGATATTGGTGGATCTACTGCCACCCTCATAACCTTTCAGTCTTTGAAGTGTAGGAAATGGTTTCAGAAATGGAGCATTAGACATCCTGTATATTTTGCTTTAAATGAGTGTGAGCCATTTTTTTAGAGGTAGTTGTGGGAGGCTTCCTGAGAAGCCAAACATCTCTTGCATAAGCATATATGGAGATATTTGTTACAACATTGGCAATATTGGGAAAATACCCCAAACAAAATTTTCAAATGATTTTTAAACCTCCTTTTTAAAGGCCCCATGCATTGTTAATATAAATTCTGTTCAAGTAACGCTAAGCATTGTGTTTTTCTACCTCAAATTGTAAGACAGTGGTACCTAATCCCATGGAGCTGCCTCTTTACTGCCTCTGAGAGCACACTCTGCTGTATAAGCTTTATAAAGATTTAAAAAGAGTGCAAACAGCCCTTGAATGTCAATGCTCACACCCTAACACTCATCTCTGAGAAAACTTTCTCATTGAAAAGAGTGAACTGGGATTTTGAACTGAGAGTTTTATGATTATTTTGGAAATGCTTATTTCTATAACATCTTCTGAAACAGAAATGCATTTGGGGAAGAATTGTTTCATGTGAACTTTCCATAGTCTGAATATCCTATTAAGTTTGAGGTAAGAATACCACCTGTTGATACCATATCATATCCATTTGCTCACATAGACAAATACCTGCTCCCTTTAAAGAAATATTATCAAATATTATTAGCAGATACTTATGAATTATGAGATTACATGTCTCTCATTAAATAGTTCTTTATAATGCCTTCGAACCTTCTATAATGAATATAGATTGTTTTTATAACAATTAAAATTTACTTTACCTTTTAAAGGATGAATAAAAATGAATGTTTGCTATATATTGCCTAGAAATCATGAACAAGAAAGTGCTTTGATCCAAGATCTTGGGCCAGGCTATGGCGCTCAGCCAGAGAATACAGGAGTGAGAGACTAGGAAGGGGGGGGCACTAATGGTCTTGTCCGTCTGGAGTGCTGGCATTTCTCTGTCCTGCTATGATGGGAGGGCCTAAAGGAAGTCATCACAATAGTTCATTCTTCTGTGTTCATGCAAACTGTAGGTCATTCTATTTTTCTCTTTGACTTCCTGGTCCCCTTCGGTGATGCAGATAGAATCAGGGTCACGGAGGGATATGATTGCATTCAGGAAGGGAAGGGACCCAGTCTAAGAAAAACAGTTTTGTCTTAATTTTTGTAGCTATAACAAATCATGGATGACTCCATGATCATTATCTTAATGTGTAAGTATCCCGTTTTTTGGTCAGCATATGTAGAAAATAGGATCTCTGTTGTGGGATATTTATATACTGTGTGAAGATATATTGCTGTGATTGGTTTAATAAAGAGCTGAACAGCCAATAGCTAGGCAAGAAGTATAGGCGGGACTTCTGGGCAAAGAAAGGAAGCAGGAGGAGATAATCGAGGCACAGGAGAGATGTGAGGAGATACAGAGGAATTAGGACGGGCATGGGCAGTAGGAGATAGAACATAAGTGAATAGAAATGGGTTAATTTAAGTTGTAAGAGCTAGTGGGATAAACCTAAGCTAATGGCCAAGCTTTCATTATTAGTAAGAAGCCTCCATGTCATTATTTGGGAGCTGGCTGGTGGGACAGAAGAAAGAATCATTACATTCTATTTTCCCAAACAAGTTGCCCATTCTCTCTCCATTCATTAAAATGTGCCTGTACTGGTGTAAACGGGTGTATATGGGGAAGCCCTCCTCAAAGTCTTTCCTGTCAGTTCAATGAGGGCTGGTAGAAGTTGTTTCTCCTGAGGCCTCTCATCAGATTCCCAGGGATAGCCCTTCATTCAGGGTAGCAATCCATGTTGAGGAACAAAGGTCTTAGATACACCCAGTCACCATCTGCTTATGAGAGAGCCCTGGTAACAAGCCACATGCCTGTATAGCTGCAGCTCACTGTGGATTCCCTTTTAATTTCACCTTCCATTTCTGCCAGGGTTCTTTCTCATCCATTTGAGATTCCTAAACTGGGATATGGTTTGGAATGTTAATGCCGGCTGAGTTGGAAGCCATTCTTTAGAAGGATCTCCCAAGGTTTTCTTAGACTTCACATGGGACGTTGGCTTGGGGTTCAAGGAGCATCTTCAATAAGTAGTTAGTGGAACCCAAGACCCATCTAACAGCTGTGTTTTATCTAATTGATTGTTGCTTGTTTGCTTTTGTCAGTTTATTGCTCTTGTCATCTAGAGCCACCACTTTCCTCTTAATACTAGTGACACTAAGCCAGAGCAGGCTCAGGGAATGCTGAGCTGCCATTGTATCCAGTGGAATGTGCAGCAGGGCCACCTGAAGTCTAGAGCCCTCACAGGCAAGGATGTGACTTGACCTGACGAGGGAGGAGCTCATTTGTACGTGCAATCTAGAAATTGTCTCTTTCTAAACAACAGGACCATCTGTTTCAACATGATTTCAAGCAGACGGCTGTTCCCTTTCTAGTTTTCTTTCTGAATAAAAAATAAAACAAAAACATAAACAAGCCACACATACACCCCCCCCATAAAGAACAATTGAAAAACTCTATCTTGTAAATGACTTCACCAAATGCCATCGGTTTCATTGTACTCCGTGGATATATAAAATATACCCTCCCTCAGAAGTCTGACTGACTGCACGGCATGGATATGTACCTGGTATCGGGAAATCAACCAGACCAAACTAGAACTGGTGCATGCCCCAGTAGCTCACAGGTGTCCTCTTCTCCAGTTTCTTCTGTGCCAGTGAGGGCCACTCCCTCACCTACCATGTCCAACAATGGTTGGCAGAGTTCTCCTTAGAGATCTGCTTCTCTCAACTCATCTTTCCAGAAATAATTCCTCACCTTTTCTATTAGCTACCTGATTTTGGTCGACATCTAGCATCTGGATTAGTGGGCTGGGTATTAAAACCACCTCTGTTTGTCTATGGTGCTGTTCTCTACCAAGACTTCTGCTCTTTTAAAATCTAATTAGATATGCTCATCCCTAGTCTATCCGGGCCATACCTTTGTCCATAGACATCTTTCGTTTTCAAGAGCCATGAGAATCAAAGCTTTCCCTCTTACCATGGTTTCCCAGGGTCTTTGGTGTCTTTACAACCTTTCTACCCACAGCTCCTACCACTCTGTTCCAGACTTCTCTCTTTAAGCATGTCTTTCTTCATCTCCTAACAGTTGACATTTAAAACATGATATCCTGATAAGTCTTGGGAGGTGGTCACTCTAGAGGCTTTTCCTATCTACCTGTTGACATAGGTCCCCACTATTTACTATGTAACTCTTCATCTATGCTACTTAAATCATCTGGCCAATGCTTACAACTACCTCCTCCACCAGTACTACAGCTGTGCATAAGATACATGGGAATAGGGGTCCTACCTGCTTCTATACTGTGGTCACCAAGACCAGAAGGTCAATGGTTGATGTGGCTGATCCCCAGTCCCAGCTGTTTTTCATGTAATGTGGAATGTCAACTCTGGTATCGACAGATTGTTCCTCCCATTCTGTTTCCATAGACAACTGGACTTTATGAGTATAAAGTGTTTGGTGTTCTGGAAGGCTGTTCGCCAGCTCTACTTGCAGATATGTACATGGACTTAGACTACAGGAAAACCTGGGACCAACATGTGAACGGTGAGTGATGGCTTGCTTAAAAAAATCATTAGAAAGTTTATCTATTCTTGTCTTATTTAGTCTTGTATACTCCGGGCTGAGACATCTCAACATTTCCAGTATTTACTACCCTGCCATGAGCTGTGTTAACCATGCAGCTTGATTGCCATGGAAGCCTTTTTGGAAGATGGGTGTCCAGACTTCCTTTTGGAAGATGAATCAAATGTCTCCAAATAAGCAAGGGTACACACATGTGAGGAAGCGAGAGAGAAGTACCAGTGGCTGGAGGGTTCTGGGGGTCCAGGCACCTGCATGAGAGATGACACAAACTCAGAAAGCATTGGCAGTGGGTGTTGTTGTGTGCTCACCGCCCCCACTCCCACACCACCTAAGCTGAAAACATTTCATGGCCTATGGCGGGAAGAGAATCCACAGTGTACATAGTTTACATAGTAGACGTTTTACCCTGGGAGAAGCAGAGTTGAAAATCATTATACAGGGAGACTCTGGCAACTTAGAGGGGGAAGTATCCCTTGCCATCTCAGCCACCGTGGAAGAAACTTGCACAATCAGCCAAGGGCCAGTGGAGTCTTTAGTCAAGACTTCTGCAAGTATCAAAGAAGCAGCCCTTCCCCTTACTTTAAAAAGAATATATTATTTGTGGCAGGGAAAGATCCAGGAGTTCCTGGCTTCTGGGGATGCCGCTTTGGGCCCTTAAACAATCTCGTTAGAATGTCTCTTCAGGTCTAGACTGTATTCCCCTGTATTGACCTACTTCTGGGGCAGATTGCCGTTCATTGTGAAAATGTGCTCCAGAAGACACAGGCTCATATTATAATCATGCAAATAACTCTAGGGAAGAGAGTCACATTTTCTTAACAAAGGTCAGCCTGAGTCCCAGGATTCAGTATCCACAATTCATCTGAGAGACTGAGCTTAGTCTGTGAATACTGGTCATGCTATCTATTGGGCAGCTTCATGTTTTCACATACCTTCCTCATTAGGGGACATCAGCACACTTGCCTCTCCAAGGGAGCAGGCTGGCACCATCTCACTCTCCCCAGCAGACATAATGCCGTCCTGTGATACAGACATTGCCATAGGTGCCCATGTGGGTTCTGTTGGGAAGAGAGCAATGTGAAGGAGCAAATAGTCTACAAACCCCTTTGTTCGAGCCAGCTAACACACCTGACTTTAAAAAGAAAAGTAACTGCAGAGCCTCTTACTCTGCTAGCTACCGTCAGCTCTTCACACGGGGGTTTCTGGAACAGTGGAAGCCACTGTTTTACACTGTTAGCTTTGATAGAGAAATCTGGAAGTCCTTACCTTACTGTTCCTGAATTTTAGGAGTACCCAAGAGCCTTGTGACCAATTGGGCCTAAACATACTACAGGAACAAACTGAAGTCCTGGCCACTTGGTCGTCATAGTCATGGCTTGCTCCTTTTCCTAGCACTGAAATTGCCACTTTACCTCCTTAAATCTTATAGTAGAGATGGGCTGGCAGGTGTGTGTGTGTGTGTGTGTGTGTGTGTGTGTGTGTGTGTGTGTCTTGTGAACAGGCAGAGGCAACAGACATACTCATCTTTTCCCTTCAAGACTGTCTTCAGTATCCTGTGGCCCTGAGAGGATCACAAAGCTTCCTAACCAATAGTCTGATCGATTTCTTTTTATTATTATTATATGTGTTTTAAATTTTCTTTCTTTCTTTTTTTTTATTAGAAAGAAAATTATTTTACATGTCAATCCCAGGTCCCTCTCCCTCCCATCCTCTTCTTTTAAATGCTAATTGTAACCCTATGCATCTCCCTCCGGGATGGCTTGGTCCTTCTCTGGATGGTGAGATGAGAGCTCACCACACAGCCTAGGCATCTGTTTGCTCTTCAGTTCCTTTGTTATCTTCTCTTAGAGTTGTAGCTTGCATGTCCTGGCACAAGAGCACAAACATTAAGAGAATTTGGTTACTGAGGCTGTGGCATGTTGTGGAAAAAGGAAAGAAGAAATCCAGGGTTCAGCCACGTTCTAGCTGTATAAGGGCACAGCTCTCCATGGGCTTTTTGTTTCCCAGATGCCATGGAGCTAAACACACTAGACTCTGACTTCCTCCGTCTCTGGCAATCTGTAGGGAAGCAAACCTTGATGGTGTGTGTGGGGTGGTGGTGGTGGTGGGGCGTCAAAAACAAAACTCCTGGTACTCTACTGACATCTGGTGGTTTACCTGTTTAAAGCCACTGATTATTTCTTGATACCCAGTTCCTTCTATCTCAGCATGCTGTTGGTATAATGGACAAGCATTGGGCTTATTTAGGTTTCTCTGTTTCTCTGTCCTCTAAACCATCGCCAAGCAAATATACTTTTGTTTCAAAACATAGGTCCACATCTGGTGAGTTAGGGGTTTATCACACACTGAGACTACATAGGCTTCTTGAAGCCACAGACCTTTCCAGATGCACTAACTTCTTGTGTTCTCCTTCAGAACTCCAAGAAAAGGAGTGTGATGGACAGATGGTGGCATACTGGGAAGTGAAGTACCCTTTCCCTTTGTCCAACAGAGATGTATCCTTTCCACACAGCACTTAGTTCTTTGGCTCTCTCAGTGTCCTGTGTCTCCCAGGCACCACCCACACACTGGGGTCCACTCATTTCAAAGCAGTTGTAGACAATGCTGTCTCGGGCCCTTGTGGAACCATCTGCTAATGCTGCAGCTGCTTGTGTGACTTTCAGTGACCGGAGTGTGATTTCTGGGTGTGACCACATGGGACAGTAAGCACAAGGGACTACATAGGGTCACTAGAAGATACCTCATCCTTTCCAAAGAAAGTGTCCTAGAATGGAAATTGATGAGCTTAGAATTAGGAGGTCCAGGAGGGACAGTTTATGAAGCGTGTTGGTCCAGACCCCTTGATCTTACAGAGGAGGGGTGGGGACCATGAAAATGAAATGACTGGTATCAGATTGGTATGAGAGAGCAACCAGGACTCACCTTCTTGGAGTCTAGCTTTCTCCCTCCAGCATGGTCCTCTTGACTGCTATTGTTTGACACCGGGTGCCTTCTCTCTCCATTTCTTTGTTTATAAAGTAAAGCACTTGACTGAATGGCAGGGAGTTTTTCTCACATCTAAACATATTGATTATTTGTTTCTGTGAATAAATTCCTGGCAATAGTCTAACTAAGGGCAGTGGAGATGGGAAGTATGATGTACATGGGTGTATATGTGTATATGGATGGACGAAGATGCCATGATGAAGCTCATCACCCTGCACACTGCCTTAAAAATCAATACAAAATAAAGATGGGCTACAGTGCATTGAAGTTTTTAAAGATGCCATTATCTGCTACAGAATAGCACTGTCGACCTTGGGGATGTTCTGTGCTTTTAGAGGTGAAGTAGCTTTGTTGTTCTTGGTGAACCAGTCTTACCTCAAATAGAACATCTGCCTACTAAAACTTGAAGGATCCATGTGACTTCCTACGGTTTTAGACGCGACGACATGCGACGTGAATACCTCCTGTGTCTGTGATTACAGCTGTGGATGAGGACAAGACACAGGATTGATACTGTTTCTGTCCAGTGCTATTTTTGTGCCTGGATTTCTCTAATGCTCCCGACATTTCTGCCTGAGGCCCAATCACACCTCCTTTTCCTAGATAGGGAAACTGAGTCTGAGAGAGTTTGGTTAGCTTCCCCACGATTACACTAAGTGAACAGTGCACTCTGTGCGCCTTCTTGGAGAAAGGAGGAATGTGATCTCTGTGTAACTGAGAGCTCAAGAGAACGTTCACAGGTATCTCCCTAAGTGAGAACTATGCTTGGCTGTGAGGCTCAGCTTTGCAGGGACAGTAGGCAGTAAGTGAGGTCTCAGTAGAAGGGAGCAGATGCCAGGTGGAAGGCGCAGAGTGACATCCCATTGCCACCCATGCGGGCTGCTTTCCTCGTGCTGGTGCTGAGCCTTGACTGGCTGTGTAGTACGTCTACATCCGCCAGCGGCGAGACATGGATGTGGACGGAAGGAAGATCTACGTGGTCCTGGCCCAGAGCATCTCGGTACCTCAGTTTCCTGAGAAGTCTGGGGTGATCCGAGTGAGGCAGTACAAGCAGAGCCTGGCGATCGAGGGCGATAGCAAGAAGAGGAGCAGAGGTAAAGCCTGGGGTTGGGGCCAGCAACTAGCCAGGGCCACTTGGAAGCTGGGTGGGTAGGAGGCAGGTTAGGTACAAAAGCCTATTTATTAAAGGTAGACATGGTCTGGGAACAAAAGAGGTCAGCACCCGGGGAGAGTCTCAGCCCACACCCCAAATCAGCTAGGGCTTGACATAGGTGTTTCAATCTGACCCAGTGCGTTCGTTTCTTGTTTATTTGTTTAGATTTATTTGTCTTACTATTTCATGTGCATGAAACATAAAACATAAAACACATGCCTGCATGTGTTTCATGTCTGATGTCTGTGGAGGTCAGAAGAAGGCATCAGATCTCCTGGGACCTAAGTGAGCCACTGTGTGGGTGCTGGGAATTGAACCAGGATCCTCTGTAAGAGCAAGAAGTGCTGGGCCGGCTCTCCAGTGCTATGCCTTAATCGTGCATTCTTTATTGACCAGATGAAATCAGAACATCGAGAGCAGACCCTCGAGATTCGAAAAAGAGTCTCTTTGGGTTTATCCTACAGCTATAGGGCCTGGGCCTGGAGAGGGCCAGTAGATTGGCAGATGTTCATTGGAGGATACAGCTCGGCTCAGCACAAGGCCAGAGACTCAGGAACATTGAGTTCCAGTCCCCAAAAAAGGAAAGCATGGAGCATCCACCTTCAACCATACTGGCATGAGTGTGGTCTATGTCAGGAAAAAAATCTGAACTGCAACTCTGATGCTTATTAGGTCTGTCATGTAACTCTCTGGGTCTGTATTTCCTCACACATAAGGTGGGTTAGCTATCAGCTCTGTGGGGCAGTTTGGATAATGAAATGAGAGATGGTATCTAAGTGTCTAGCATTTGTCAGGCATCTAAGAAGTCATGGCCGGTTGTTCCTCTGGCTGTATTTTCAACAATGCTTCTGTGTCAGAAGCCACAGGCAGGTCGGGGCAGTTCACTGGGATCACTTGCTCCCTTCCTCTGTGCTCTCTGGGCCCGAATCTGAAGATAGAAGGTTTGCAGAGCCTTGTTACTGCATTTTCCCAGTCCCACCCCCACTGCTTCTGAATTGTCTTTTCTTTTCCCTTTTCAGTTTTCATGTACTACTTTGATAACCCGGGTGGCCAAATTCCGTCCTGGATCATTAACTGGGCAGCCAAGGTGAGATCCCAGGAGGTAGCCAGGGGTGGGGGTAAGGGGCGGGGGACAGGGTATGTGCATTTGACAAATGTTGACTTAGCCTGTGGGTTGTCATGTTGAAGAGAACACATTGTCCCAGGATAATGAGACTCTTTTATGAAAAACTTGGTTGAGTGACTTGGTTTGAGTTGGAGTGGCCTACACCCAGGATGGAGGCTGTGACAAAGGACAAAGAAAGGATCTGTTAGCTTGGAATGCCAGCCCTTCCCTGCTGGTGGCCCCAGACCCTCCAAGATTACTCTCTGGAACTTCCAGACAAAAGTCTGCTCCTTGTAGGGAAAATGGTACTTTCGTTATCTGCTTTTGGAGGGTAAGACAGACAGATTTTTCTTGGAGACAGACTTAAGGAAGTCCCTAGGTCTGTTGTCCTTGCTGTTTTCATTTTTCAAGGCTAGGTCACTAGAGGCTGTCACTCCTAAGATCCTGCATTGCTGTGACTACTAGGCAGGTTTTGCACAGGTCCTGTGTGAACTCAGGACACCCATGGGAGAGTGAGAATGCCCGTAGGCATCAGAGGCAAACAGTCATGATTCAGAATCTGGGCTTTGCCATGGAGTGTTTTGTGTTAGTTAGGGGAAGCCCGATTTTCTTCCTTTTTGAAAAACAAGGATGAATACTGCCTACTGAATGGAGTAGAGTCAATAAGACATTATGGAAAGTCTTGCACAGTGCCTGACACTAAACAACTATGATCCCACCCTCTAACCCCAAACACCACTTGTTAATTCAATAAGGCAAGCCCTTCTTTAAGGAAGAATGTGGTGATATATTGTTTATGATCTAATAAAGCTTGCCTGGAGATCAGAATGCAAAGCTAGACACAACCATAGAGGCCAGGAAGTGGTTATACACACCTTTAATCCCAGCAACCATATTAATTAGTCATAAAAGCTGGACAGTGAGATCCCGTCTTTTGCTTTGAAGTTGGGGTTTTTTCTTTCCTTTTTTAATCTTAAGAAGTGATGTGTATGTGTGTACATGTTGGGGAATATGCCTATGTGGGTGCTGGTACCTGCAGAGTACAGAAGAGGTGATGGAGCCCCTGGGACTGGAGTTCCAGGTGACTGTGAGCTATCTGACATTGGGGCTGGGAACTGAACTCACATCCTTTGCAAGAAAAACATGTGCTTTTAGGCCCCAAGGCACCTTGCTAGCCCCCTTTCCCCTTCTTTTTAATAAATATTTCAAAAAAGGGCTCTGTAGTTTTTATGAGCAAAAGTCACACTGAAGGCACTGTCTTGGAAGCAGTGGTCTGTCTGTCTTGCCTTGCGCCATTTTCTGACCACATCATGGAGAAATTGGATCAGGGGCCTCATTTTCTTTTATTACCCCTAAAGCCATCATTGTTTATCTTTTGCTGCATTCCAGAGAATGAAGAATACATAGAAACATATTTTTTTTCCCCTTTGCAGAAAGGAGTTCCCGGCTTTTTGAAAGACATGATAAAAGCTTGTCAGAATTACCCCAAGAAAACCTAAGAAGGAGACTGGGACCCTACTTCCCCCTCTGGATGTGCTCCAACTGATGCTCGGCCAGCCTTCCCTCCACACTTTGCAACTTCAGAGGTCTACATGTATCCCAGGCATGCTTGCCTGTTGCCTGGCTCATTTGCTGCCTTCATTCCCATTGGTTTTACTCAGGGCCGAATGGTAGAATGGTGGCCTCTGCTTGTTCATTTTTAGTTAGGGAAATCCTCAGTAGAAAAGAGGGGCATTCTGTTGTACCATTTTAGGGGGAATGAATGAGATGGGGAAGGATGATAAAACGTAGGAGTGACCCTTCCTGGCAAGCAAGCTCACTTCAGTACTCTTGGTTGCAACTCAGGAGAGGCTGCTGGATGTGGCCTTTGGTTCATAGTTGGCCTTCCATGTCCCACACGTTGATGACCCATCTCTTTATGCTTTGTTGACTTGAGTAGTTTGGGATTTGAGGTGAGAAGCAAGTATTCCTACTTGTGCAGGATCAATGGCTGCTGTGATATCAGACCCTTATGAGTGTCCCAAGCCTGACTGAGCATACGCTGAGATGACCCCATGTCCCTAATTGCCCACATCTGGATTTTTCCTTTCCTATAAACCACTGGGAAACTGCTGCCTGTACCTCTGTAGCTGTGCATTTGACTGCAAGCCCAAGGCTTCAGGGACAAAGATAGCTTGTGCACAGCCCTATGATTGTGTCTTCCTAAGTAGTAAGGTGGCTTTCCCTTCTAGAATGTTTAGAGATGTTGATAGGACAGTAAGGTTTACAACCAAGCAAAATTGAAGTAGTGATTTGTTGTGCTCTTTGCCTTTTTTTCTTTGGAATTCTACCTCTTCAAATCAAGGACTCTCAGAGCCCTAGTTTTATCCTGAATTTTTGTAGGAAAATACATTCTGTGGCCAAGACACTGCCTTGGTGATCTCAGGGAAAAGCTCCAATAACCGTGTAAAACTTGACGAACGGATGTGGAAACTCAGAATGCAAAGCCAGAAGAAAGAGATTGTTAAAGTGGCATTCCTTAGAGTTTGTGTTCTCTCTGGGAAGAAAGGTGTGTTCTGTGAATTAAAAAACACAGTGACTTATACTTCTCCTGTGTGCTGTTTCTTTCTAACCCCATTCTTTTGGAAAGAATGAATTAGTTAGGCTTCTTTTGTTTGCACTGACACCTAGACTTAAAAATTAAATGCAAATTTGTGGCTGGAGAGATGGCTTAGCTGTTTACACAACACTGGCTGCTCTTTCAGAGGACCACGGTTCAGGTTTAGGTTCAGACACACAGGGCAACTCATCACCATCTGTAACTTCAGTTCCAGGGGATTTGACACCCTCTTCTGGTGTCCACAAGCCCTGCATGCTCATCATGCAAACCTGAAGGCAAAACGCCCACTAAATTAAAGTCTTTTTAGGAAGAGATCATTTTACAGCTCACTTACTTCAAGGCCACATATATTTGGCTTCTGGGAGGAACCAAGTAAGGTGCTTCAGTTAAGTTTAAAATTCAGTTCTGTTTTTCAGTTTATCTAAATGTAATGGTAGGATTGCTAGTAAAAGCAGTAAATAGGCTATGCTAAGCAGGAAAGAAAGGCAGGCAGGAAGGAAAACAGGGAAGGGGGAAGAGGTGGGGAGGGAGGGAAGAAGGAAGGAAGGGAGGGAGGAAGGAAGGGAGGGAGGCAGATTACTTGTCAATGAATACTGTTTTTGCTGTAATTTAAACTCTCTATGGCATATGCCTATTGGTCCTGGGAATAAGTTTATTCAAGTAAGTGAATGCTTCATAAAATTGTCATTAAAATGTCATTATTAATAAGTGGCTGGTATTAGAGTTTAGGAACATGGCATTCAATTGTCTCGTATTGTGAATGTAAGTGGATCCCTGGCGACGATCCTTTAAAATATAAACATGAAGATCAGAAGGTGACACTTTTTGAACAGAGGATTGACATAAAATGGTGTCACCTAAGTCATTTCTTTTCCTAAAGAGGGTTTTGTTCATTTTGTTTTGTTTCCTGGGACAGGTTTTCACTGTGTAATGGCCTTGGTTGTCCTAGAACTCCCTCTGTAGACCATGCTGGCCTCTAACTCACAGAGATATGCCTGCCTCTGCCTCCTGAGTGCTGGGATTAAAGGAATGTGCCACCAGCCCTGACATTTGTTTTCTTGAAGATAATTTTGTTTTGTTTTTAACATATATTACTGTTTTGCTTGCATGCATGTCTGTGCATCACTTGTGTATCTGTTGCTCGTGGAAGCCAGAAGGGGGCATTGAATGCCCTGGAACTGGGAGTGACAGATGGTTGCGAGTTGTGATGTGGATATTGGAAGCCAAATCCAGATCATCTGGAAGAGCAGCCAATGCTTTAACCACTGAGCCATTACTCCAGCTTCAAGAACTAAACAACTAAGGATTTTGTGGATGCTAAGAATACCAAATGGTTTTACTGTTTATTTGTCTTGGTTTTTGGAGACAGACTCTCTGTGAAGACCACATATCAAACTCAAAGTCTCCCTGCCTTAGTTTCCCAGGTCCTGGGGTTACAGGCATGTGCCACTATACCTACTGTCATAATACCAAATTTTAGGGAAGGCACTTAGGAGAAATGGTGAATTTGGGGTGGGAACAATGGCTCAGTGGTTAAGGCCATATACCACTCTTGCAGAGTACTCAAGTTTGGTAGCTAGCACCCACATCCAGTGGCTCATAAGCGCTAGGAGAGCCCAAGCTTCCACAGGCGCCAGCATTCATAGGCACAATACCCACCCTCCTACTTATTCACAAGATTAAAAATAATCTTAAAAGTAAATTTGAATTAATTCGTGTAATTACAGATGTCTTTTTGGCTTATTTGGAGTAGAGGACAATGCCATATGACATAATATTAAAATTTGACACGTGGGGGCCAGGGCTCTGAACACCCTGCACTGTAGTTGGTGCCTGAAGTGAAAAAAGAATGTACAATTGGTCTTCATGGGAGTGCCCGGTAGCTCACCACATGCCTTTCCATGGAGGCTGAATGTGTCACTCAGAATTGAAAAGTTGTAAACTTGCCCCCATTCCTCTACATTGTTAGGCTTGTTTTTCACATGCCTGCCTCACCCAGTAGACAGTAAGTGTTTGGATAGAAACAGTGATTTCCCACTAGTCACTGGTTTTAGGAAACTATGCCAGAGTGAATAAATGATTTAGGGAAAGTTGAACAAATGGTGTGAACTCCAAAGACTAAACCGGTCCTGACAGAAAAGTTCATCTCCATTGTTTCCGTCCAAATGACTCTCCAAATCAGTGGTTTTTTTTGGGGGGGGGGGATTCTAGATTCCCTAGGTTCTCACTGGTTCTTCCTTTCAGGGACTTAGTCCTGCTTCTCAGCCATATGCAAGTTATACTGTGATGTTTGGAAAGGGGCCAGCCCGGACGAAGGGTACCCTAGTTTACCCAGGGTTCCAGGTAAGAGCCAATGGCAAAAGCTACGCTGCTACTGTGGTGCTAAATTCTTTCCACAGGCAAATCATCCCCACTGTATGACAATTCAAAATTAAAGATCATCTTGGCACTGACGTTACACGAGAGGGTCATTTCCCTCGAACACGTTTCACAGTGAGAGCCCTGGCCTAGCTCTCTGGTTGAGTTTTCTCTCTCAGGATCCACATCCGCAATGCCTGCCCTTCACACCTCCTGCTTCCCAGTAGGATTCGGAAGAGGCAAATCAGGAAGACACCACCCAGTCAGTTCGGAGAGCTGTCTGTAAGAGCATGGAGACATTGAGTCACCTTGTAGGTCTTTCTCCAAATGCTGGTGTCATCAGGACCGAGGGCAGGCAGGATGGTTCCTGGAATGAATGAGTCGGATTGGGGGACCTGTCTCTCATCTGTGGTGTGCTGAGGAAGACCCGATGAACAAGCTGCTGAAGAATGGAGAGTGCTCGGAAGGGACACATAGAGGCTGCTTTCACATGAGACACTAGGTGAGGCCGAGGGACAACAGAAACTGTAATTCGGAGTTGGCTGAGAGAAGGTAGAGGAAGAAAGACCATTCCAGATGAAAAGGAGTCCACAGGGCTGGTGTAGCTGGAGCAGTGGCTTGGTGCTCTGCATGACAGAAGTAGTAGCATAAATCCTGAGAGTCACCTGAGGACTCAGATCTGGTATCTCAGCCACCATTGAGTTCTGAAGGGTAGTTACTGGAGGAGCGATCTGACAAGACTTATTCATTCCTTATGCCTTCCATTTTCCCCATGGCCCCTTGACAGGTAGAATCTTGGGATTCCTTTCCTGTGACCTCAGGGGTTCCTCCAAGGTTCTCAAAGCCTTCTCAGTGTGTTCTGACTGTGTAGAGTGCTGCCCATGCTTCCATGGAGTATCTAAAGCAGAGAACAGCTCTGGTGTTTAACTGGAAAAATAAAAGAAGGTGAAGGTGGGCATTCAAGTACATCCTGCCTCTCCTGCTCATGCTGTGTGTCATATCATGTCATGCAGCCAGTGAGAGCAAAACCATTGTACAGTCCAGAAGTGGGAAAGAAAACATGTGAGGTGCTCAAAAAACAAGTCATTTTTTTTCCCTAAAATACTCCTTCACTGTAGGAAAGAATATCTTTCTGTTTTCTTTTTTGCTTGAGAAAACAGAAATCTATTGCTTGACTGGGTTACATATGGAGGGCTTTAGATAAGTTATTAATTAATTTGCAGTTTCTGAAGGGACACAGTCCATCATGGCAGGGAAGACATGCTAGTCAGGAAGCAGGGTGATCACATTTCGTCCACACACAGGAAGCAGAGGGAATGGGCAGGGGGCAGCCTATAAAACTTCAAAGCCCACCGTGAGTAACATACTTCCTCCAGAAGGCTCCACCTCCTAAATGTTTCACAACCTTTCCAAACAGCACCACTACCTGGGGGACTGACTGTTCAAATACAGGCCTATGGGGAAAGTCTATAATGTGTTTCCATAAATGCATGCATGAGTATCTATCTATTCTGGTGCATGTGACTGGTCCCCGTTGCTTAC